CATTGTGTGTGTGTGTGTGTGTGTGTGTGTGTGTGTGTGTGTGTGTGTGTTCTTATGGCTTTGTGTTAGTATCATCCGCTTCTGCCCAGTGCACATGATACTACCTGGCCCACGTAGTGTCAGCCATGCCCCAGGAAACCGCCAACACCACATGGCACCGCCTGCCCTCACCATGAGGCGGTCCATGTACATGTGGCCAGGCCCATGAGTTGGTCCACGTACATGTCTAAGAGATAGACCCCATGGTCTGGAATGAGGAGGTGCACTTCGTTTTTTGTTTTATTTTGTAAGGGCTGTTTTCTTTTTTTCTTTTGTCACTTGGCCACATGAATGGCAGAGGACGAAGTGGGGTGGGTGGACAGCACAGTGCGAGCGGTAGGACGAGAAGGACGTCGTGGGAGAGGATGACCACGCCCACTGAAAATAGGTACAGGGCAGTGGTGATTCGGGGAGGACAACCAGCCCCGCTGAAAATAGATACGGGGCAGTGGTGATTCGGGCATTGAGATGAGCCCATGAAAAACCGCTGGCCGATTCGCACACGTGGCCGATTTGCGCACGTGGCCGATTTGCGCACGTGGCCGATCCGCGCACATGACCGATTCACGCACGGACACGCACAGATGTTATGTGCCTGATTGAAAACGAAACCAGCATGGCATTCACACGTTCCCATACCCATGCGCAAGGACAAGTAGACTTGGAGAGAGCAATCCACACCAAACCAAATGATGAGAATACGCAGCGGAAGATCACAAAATCCAGAATAGAATTGAAATTAGTCAATTCTCATTAACACCATTTCTCCCCAATTCAATCAGCGACATGAGATTCCCAGGATCCCAACCACGTTCCAACAACTACGAACCGATCAGAAACAAAGTTTCATCGAGTCCTGTGGGAGACTCCTTCCTCCCTCCCCCTCGAGCACTCAGCTATTCTCTCAGCGCCCAACCTAGCCAGCCCGCCAACCCCGGCTTTCCAGACAGGATCGCCTCAGCTGCAGGGAGAGCCAGCTCCCGAGGACGGAGAAGAAAACCGACTCGATGAAGATGATGGTTGCTTGCCATGTCGAAGAAGGACCACTGCAGGGAGAGCCAGCTCCCTGGTGGATGTCCCTTATGCCGTTTTCAGAAAGCTCTCTCTCTCTCTCTCTCTCTCTCTCTCTCTCTCTCTCTCTCTCTCTCTCTCTCTCTCTCTCCCCCTCTCTCCGGTCTCTTCTTCCTTCCTTGGACCCCCTGACATGTGCTGTACTTAGAATACGGCATGGCCCTGGGCGATGATGACAAACTGCTCAGGGCATCCGCCTGAAGCAGGATAGTGCCTCTGAATGTACCTGTCACCAAAAAATGGCACGATTCAGGCATTCTCAGGGTGCAGGCGTTTGGAAAGGGCAGGGTACTTTGAAGGGGTAAGGCATTTTCAAAGTTTCGGCACACTTGTACTTTCCTGGATGTATCTGGTGGCAAAATGACACAATTAAGCCAAGAAAGTCCTACCATCTGGCCCGGAATAGAACATACGTTCATTACAGCTGTATTTGGGGCAACTTCCGGTCTAGATACAACGATAAGGACCATGTTGCCATTCGGGGGAAGAAGCTGTATTTGGGGCAACTTTCAGTATATAGATACAATGGTAAGGACCATGTTGCCATTCAGGGGAAGAAGACGGAACAAAATAGCCGGGAAACGGAAACCCGGTTTAACTGAAAGCTTTTTCTTTGCATCATCCACAGTCAGAGACAGGCCTGGCATTGACCGTATCGGGTACGATCACTTTTATAACTGAGGATCTTCTTGCCTCCTGTAATGATATACCGAATCACACAATCTGATCCGCCATCCCTATACTGTAGGAAGATTTGAGGAGCAGGCCCCACTGACCAATGTCCAGGTCTTTAAGTATGTGAGCACTCATTGTTGAAGGGGTGGGTGTGATGGTTGCGAATAGTGGTGGGATCGGTACTTGTGCAGTAGGCTGCGGCGGTGTGGGAGTTTGGGTGGTCACTGATCATCGGATGTACAGGGTTTGGAAGTCAGGGTAAAGTGGGCACAAATGAATTTGGTCAAAATGTCTGTGGCCCATTCATTGTTGAGCGGGCGGGTGCAGCACACTGTGGAAAGTGGTGAACTGGCACTTGTGTCGTAGGGAGAGTTTGGGTGCTCGCTGACCGTCGGGTGGTGCTTGATCTGCAGGTCAGGGTGAAGGGGGGGTGAATGAATTTGGAATTACCTTCACACCAGTGCTCTGTCGTCAGCCATGAACTACGTATTGCAAGCTCCGGCTGGCTCGAGTAACAACGACAGAGCTCGACTTCCGGTACATTCCTCGTCAAGCAGTGGGTACCACACCACCCAACATGATAATATTGAGTTGCAGGAGAGTGGTCCCGACCACGATCAACAGCCTCTTGTAGCTCCAGAGGGAGTGGGAGGAGAAGAAAGAAAAGGAGTGGGTGTGTTGTCTCGTCATCTCTGGGGATTGCCGATAGCGTGGGTTTGCCTCATTGGTCTGGTCATTCTGGCCCAAGTTGTATTGTGCGCGTTTGCCGTTAGGGCATGGTCCTGGCCTGCCAAGGCACAGCCACCAACTCCTGGGACTCCAGGGCAGGAACTTGTCTCTGAAAACCCTGCTCTAGGTGGCATACAGTCATGTTTGACTATCTTGCAGCAGAGCGGTGGCAAATTCTCAGCTGGGAAGGAGATGGAAGGATTGCATCTGACCTCTAAGGATGCAGGCGTGCTGACCTGTCACCACTACCCAGGATTCCATTTTCGCCCTCGTGGCAAGTGGATGAATGACCCGAATGGCCCCATGTTTTATAAGGGTATGTATCACCTCTTTTTCCAGTATAACCCCTATGCCCCTGTGTGGGGGAATATTCAATGGGGTCATGCCATCTCTCCCAATTTGGTGGACTGGCTAGAGCTTCAGATAGCACTTTCGCCGGATCAGTGGTATGACCGGAAAGGCGTGTTCTCAGGCTCGGCGACGATTCTAGATGACGGCCGACCAGCGATTCTGTACACAGGGGTTACCGGAAACGACGGAGAGGTGCAAAACTTGGCAGAACCTGCGGATCTGCTTGATCCTTACCTTCGGGAATGGACAAAAAGTGCGCAGAATCCAATTATGAATGTGCCTAATGAGGTGAACCCGAAAGAATTCAGGGACCCGTCAACGGCGTGGAAAGGAGGAGACGGCAAATGGCGAGTGTTGATTGGTGGAGCGGACGCTTCAGTGTCCGATGGTAGTGCCCTGGTATTTGAGAGTGCGGACTTCCAGCGCTGGCAAGGCGGTAAGAAGTTGCACACCAGGGCGGGAACGGGGATGTGGGAGTGTCCAGAGTTGTTTCCGCTGCCGGTAAGGGGAACCCTATCGGGCGATGGGCAGAAACATGTCCTGAAGGTCTCCCTCGAAAGGTATCGCCTTGACTGTTATGTGGTAGGAACATACAATCTGACAGATCATAGCTGGGCGCCTGACGATCTATCGGTCGATATCAGTCTAGCAGCTCTGAGATACGATTATGGAGAGTTCTATGCGTCGAAGTCATTTTTTGACAGCAATCACAACCGCACGTTACTCTGGGGTTGGGTTGGAGAATTATCGACGGAGGCCGTTAACGAAATAAAAGGATGGGCTTCGATCCAGGCTCTGCCAAGAGTACTGCGCTTGGATGAGAATTTTAATACTAGACTGATTCAGATGCCGTTGCCGGAGGTAGAGGCTCGGCGGGGAGTGAGTTACGATTTGGTTAATTTGACCTTGCAACCGGGTGCTTTGCTGCCAGTAGAAGGAATAGCAGGGTCTGAGTTGGATATTGAGGTTGAGTTTGGGAGACCAGGTGTGAACGCGAGTTTCGGTTCTAACCTGATGGGAAATGTCAGTGGCAATCCTGAACATTGTTGCCAGGGGCGCCAGAGGGGAACAGGAACGGGCCTGTTTGGGTTGCTGGTCTTGGCAGACAGGGGCTTATCAGAGCAGACATCAGTCTACTTTGAGGAGTTGTCGTATGACAATGGGAGAATGGGACGAAAGCAGGAATTACCAATATGCCTCTGTACTGACCTTAGCAGATCCTCGCGTTATCTTGGGGTTCGCAAGCCTGTATACAACACAACTGTACCTGTGTTGTCCACAGAGAACGCGCTGACCTTACGCATATTGGTAGACAGATCTGTCGTTGAAGTCTTTGCTCAAGGTGGGAGGTCTGTCATAACATCAAGAGCGTATCCGCAGTTGGCGGTCGGGCAGGATGCTCGCGTGTTCCTGTTCAATAATGGGAGTACACCTGTTGTTGTCAACAGGTTCCAGGCATGGCAGATGCAATCTGCAAATATTTCATAATGTGAAAACAAAGATTCTACTTCTTTTTTGCCCATTGTCCGTATCAGCAGTGTATGTAGGGATGGGGGGGGGGGGGGGGGAGGAAGAATGTTTAGAGTGGGTTTTATGGACCTTGAGGGAGTAGTTCATTGAGTGACTGCCGTCATTGTCAGGGGCTCAGAGTAGACAGTTCGCGAGGATTTTGAGCACTTTTTTTCCCCCTCTGAAGGGTGGTGCTAGGTTGGGGCAAGGCGGCTCGCTCTTGCGCATCGGTCAGAGCATAATCACAGTAGGACGTTTTGGACCGCACTCTGGATGTCCTTTGGCCTAGCATCCTGATTTTGTTGTCATTTATGTGTGCAGAGCTTCCTCACCTTTGCACATTGCTGGGCTATGGTGTCCAGTTTTAAGATATTAGTTTCTGAGTATGGCTAGTCATTTACTCTTTGTGGAGGTGGTAGAACGGTGTCAGATTTTTGTCGGTAGAGGATTTGAAAGTGTGCCTTGTTCAGGCAATTTACAGCGGCTAACATAACATGGTATACAACTCAGCAATAGATCTTAGCGGAGCGGAGGTTTTGCATCATGGTGCTTCTCCTTGGCAATTCTGGTCTTTTCATTTTGTTCCACACGAGCTCTGGGGGCGATGAGCTCTCGAGGCTATCGGTTGGAAGTTGTATGACCTAAAAGAGCCCAGTATTGTAATGTATTGTCACTGTCTCCCTATGTCAGGATTTGGTCATTTACTTTATGCCCCTGCTGCCTTCCTTGGATGGGGTAGCCATCTCTCAGGCTTGGAAGTTGGAAGGTTGATGATGATGAATTTCTGATGTTTTTACCTGAAAGAGAGGTAGACTTTGACTTTCGCTATGACACTGAATGGCGCACTATCATGGCCACTATGTGAAGAGCGCTGTCGTTCCTGAGAAGTTTCTTCTCAAGGTTGGCCAAATAATTGCATCGGTTCTTCGAAGTTGTTGTTGTTTTTCTTTTCTTTCTTTTGTCATGTTGTCTTCTGAGTCTTTTTGTTGCCAGATTTGTCTGCGGTCTTTTTCCCCCCTCCTTTTTTTGCTCTTTATGCAGAGTCGCTTAGGCAGCCTTCAGTCGTAAGGGTTTATACACCAGCCACAGGTCAGCCATAGCCAGAGCTTTCTGTTTTTTTTTTTTTTTTTTTAATGCATCAAGGTATTGCTTAATCTTCTCAGCACTACTGTCGGCGAGTTTAGGCCTGTTTGTTCCTCGTCCAGCAGCTTGGGTGAAGAGTCTGTAAGTCCTTTTCTTTGATTCCTTTGGATGAAACTGGAGCAATTAAAAATGACGTTGTCGGCCTTGTGGCCATGACTCCTGAAGTTATAGCTATGACCGGCCGAGCGAGAAGAACAGCAAATGGATGGATGTACATACACCAGAACTCTCTTGGCTGTATCGAGTTGCAATTATGGCCAGATTCCGTTGTAGTATTCTTTATTTTAATATTTTTTAATTTGGCAAAGAATACCGATGTAACCCTGATGCAAAAGTTGTTCGGTTTACTTTTCTGCACAACATAGTTTTTCAGACTTTTTGTCTATGTTACCAGGCCGGATGTTTGGGGCTGTGGGGGTGGGCATGGGGACAGCAGGAAGCAGAGCAGGCCAAAGAGATTTTTTTCAGAGTCCGGTAGGGCCTAAAAAATCGAGAAAAAAGGTGCAATCTGAGCTGTGAGATCTTGAAGATCGACGGCCCATATTGGGTCTTTTTCAAATTCAAATTTGTGGAGGGGGCATGTCCTGCCCCACTCGCGACTTTGGCACGGACGTTGGAATTCCACACTGCCGAACTCCAACGCCCTTGCAACCACTGTTGCAAGCACTGCTGCAACCACTGCTGCAGCAGTTGCATCTAGTGTGTGTGTGTGTGTGTGTGTGTGTGTGTGTGTGTGTGTGTGTGTGTGTGTTGGGGGCGCAGAGGGTCACACAGACGTGTGTGCACATGTACTGCACTTTTTCTAACAACACACAGGGACAGAACTGTTGATTGACATTTTGGGATTGTTGATTCCAGATTTGATGAAACATAGTACATAGCCATGTTTTTGTGGATGACACACAAATTTGTTTTTTCGTCAAATAATAGGAGTGTGATTTCCACGTGATGGTGGCTTCATCGTTCCTCCTCCTGCCTGTTCTATTCTATGTATGCCACGCTTTTGCCGCCGATCCTCTGCACGAAATGGAGCCAGTTGCAGGAGCAGGTACGACAAGCAGCCTGCTGTGGTGTTCCGGCCTTGCAGAGAGGGGATGGGATAATGGCTTCCCCTCCCCCAGTTTCTCCTGAAAGCAAATCAAGGGAATGCTTTGCCCAGTGTTGCTGCAAAGTTTAGATCAACCCCTTTTCCTTCCCCTTACATTTTTCGTTCCCTAGCCTATTGAATCCTCACTGTGAAGTTCCAACAAGAAACAAAAAAGAAAAGTGAAAAAGACATGCTGATCCCTGGTCCTTTGGGGTATCAGTGAGGATTGGAACGATAGAGAAGATTAGTGTGGCCCCTGGCGCCAGGTCCCACTAGCAGCGTTGAGTTTCCTCAATTGCCCGAATCAGGACGTGTTTGTGGAGACGTGCAGAAAATTGGATTGAGTCTCCTCAACCGCACATCTCCTCGAACACGTCCAGATTCGGGTGTCGAGGAAATTCGACGCTGCTAGTGGGACTTGGCCCCTGCACAAGGCGATGACACACATAAGTTGAGAAATGGTCCGGTGGAATAGGAACCGGACTGATGCTGACCAGAATGGAAATGGAGCCAGGACCGTCAGGGCCTGTTTAAAAAAAAAAAAAAAAAAAAAAAATCATAGCTGATCTTGTGTTCCTGGCGAGCAGGAAAACTGGGACGACTGGGACCTTTGATTCCTTGTTCCAGTCCCAGTTTTCGTCCTCGTGTGCTCGTTGGCTTTATTCGCTTCCTAATTTGGAAGATGAACTTCATCTTTTTCAGTCATCCTCTCCTGCCTCTCCACATGACTCTCCCCCTGCATCCTTTGAACCACCGTCTTCACCGGAATAGAACGGCGGGTGATCTCGCTGTATCTAGGCCAATTGTTGCCTGAATACAGGCATAGTGACCGTACATGCCCTAATTTGGAAGATGAGGTCCATCTTTTTCTGCCATCCTGTCGTCCCTCCACATGACTCACCCGCTGCACCCTTTCCAACTACTGTCTTCACCTAACTAAAACAACTGGTCATTATATTGTATCTAGACTGAAAGTTGTCCCAAATACAGGCACAATGACCGTACATTCTATTAAGGTGAAGACGGTAGTATTTGCACCAGGGCACCTTTACATAGTTGATTTGGGCGTCCGCCGTAGTCTTTGTTCTGTGTTTCTTTTTTTTTTCCCTCAGGTAATTCTGAATTATGTTATTCTGTTCATCAAGCTCCATAGGGATTCAAACTCCAGTCTTTACTTCAACAGTTCATGTACCAACTGAGCGAGGCTCATCGGTGTTCTGGGTTTCATTGTGTTCGTGTGAACACACCTGCGGATCCCTTTTTGTTTTGCCCGAAAGCACAATTGGAAAAAGAAGAAGAAGAAAAATGCACGATTGGAAGTCTCTGGGCTCTCCTCAGTTTTCATTTTTCATTTTCTTTTCTGATTTCCTTTTTCAAATAAAACGGGGTCATGTGGTCCTGGCTTTTTTCTGTTCTGGGCAGAGGCCTGTTCTACTGATAAAGGGGGGAAAAGAGGAATGCCCCGGGGTCGTCCCGTTAATAAGCCACAGGTGACAGATCAGTGTAGGATAATCCTCGTAGGGTATACTCACACCAGGACTTGTTTTTTTTTCTTTTTCTTTTCTATGGACCTAATTGCGCTCAGATGCATTTAAGAGAGAGCGGTATTGTGAGCGTGGCCTTAGGGGCTCGTAGGACGCACCTTGGGAGACCACGCGCAAAGAGGATTGGATTCGATGTCTGAATCTGGACATTTGTGGAGTATGGAGAATCGATATTTATCTGCTATTCTGCACCTCTGTGTAGTACACATCCATATTCAGGCGCTTAGTCCACCCCTCCTTGCTGGTTCCTCGTGCCTTGAAAACAACCTTGATGGCCTCCGAACGCTCGATTCCTATAATTTCTAGGATGATCCCAGACAATTTTTGTGATTAGTTTTCCCTGACTCGGTTTGAAGGACGGATCACAAGGCAGGCTACCTTTTTAGGAAAAAAAATAGCAAAGAAATAGAAAGCTAAGTTTCAGCCTGTTGGGGGGGTGCTGCATATAATCAGTTTCTAGGATGATAGGAGGTCCTCCTAGAAACTCAAGGTACCTATGGGAGGTACCTTGAGTGTCTGGGACCAAAAATGCCATGTCATTCTGGAATCTCTAGAACGGGTCCTGGAGAGAGTTTCACATTTGTCCTTCTAGGAAATGAGATGAGTATGTTTTTTTTTCTATCGTCTTTACCTGAATTGGAAGTTGCCCAGTCATTATCGCTGTATCTAGACTGGACCCCGGGCTTTGTGGCCTGCCACTGGTCGCCAAGCTTTTCTGAACCGCCAGTGAAACACTCTTTTCTTTATTGGCTGGTGCCACCAGCCATTGTTGTCTGGAAGCCCTGAGCCTCTGAAAATTTTCGTTGGCGATGAAAGATTCCACAAGGCTGTGGCCGTGTATTGGCTGTTTGAGCGGTTGCTGTACTTTGCGTTATTCGCTGAACGTTTTCGTTTCGCGAACTCGATCACAGCAACCAGAAGAATTGTGGGGCACACTCACACTCAGACTTTTGGAGATGTATATGACAGCAGTTATGGCAAGATTCGGTACAAAAGATCTGAGTGCAAGGAACATGAATGTGGACGAAGCAAAGAAATCCCAATTGCAAATCACACTGAAGTCCAAGTAGTCAAAGCAAGAGCAGATAACACATTGGA